ATGTTGTTTTGGTAATTCTAAAATACCTCAACCAATTCAGTATTAGTGATATTATATAATCAATTTTCTCCAGAATCAAAAGAGTAAACGCCAAAGCGCGTTTACTTTGTGTCAGGATTGGCTTCTGAGTCATTTATTAAATGAAGAACAGATCCACGCAGCTTCTCCAACTACAACAAATTCTGTTTTTACTGTTGATATTTGGTGCCAATTAATCAGGAAGGGATGATTTTGTTCACTTTGACCCATTGAATGGAAACTGCTTTATTCGCATGTCTTTTATGCGATTTTACATTTTGCGCTTAAAGTCAATTCGTATTTTTGAAGCTAATGTTGGCTACATCTACAGTACTGGTTCCTTTTCAATATGACATAGTTTTTTTCTCAGCTTCTATGATATGAAAGACTAGTTTTCATACAGTAGGTGCTTTAGTTCTCTTTTGCTTTTAATTGCACAACCTGCATTACATCTCTGTTATCGTGAAACGCATAGCATTGAATCCATACTGTAGTTTCGATTAATCCTCCAGTTGCATGCAATGCTTCATGCTGTTCCCAGTGGGAGTGCAAATACAACCAGAAAAAGTCTGGTGGGAATTAGTTCCTGTACCTTTCTGGCAAGTTCGTATAACTACCTGTTGTGAAAGCTCCTAAATGCTCAAATTTAAGTCTACCATTGTTAACTGTATGGTTTATTTGTTAGAGAAAGCACCAGGTAGCAATGGGGATCACATTCCATCAGCTTTATGACTGGTCAGATGGCTTGTAAATCAAACCCATAGCAGAGGGTCAACTCTTAATCAAAAAGCTGTCCTCATTTAGTCAAGGAAAGGAGAGCCCAAATGTCCAGCACTGCTTTTGATTTAATGATGCCGCTTCGACTGTTTCCAGACCTTCTGCTGACACACATAATGTGCAATCCTAGACCTTGTCGATAGGACAAGACAAGGACAGACCATTACAAACAAAGGTTATCAAACGTTTCCTCAAGGAAAAAGCCAGTTACGGGTCTCCCTCATTCATTTATTTTCGACCCATCAGAGGACTGCTCTTTAGCTGAGGCACACAGAGCAAATCTGGTTTTCTCTTCATCCACTCCAGTTATACCTGTGCATTAGCTTCCATTATGATTATTATTCTGTAAAGCTACTGTGGGGCTTCAGAGTAGGTCAGTGTTGACATGGTGTACTGTATATAGAATCAAGAAGAAAAATAAAGAAGAAAGACCGAAAGGAAGGCAGTATTTCTCTTAAAAACAGTGGGAAAGGAAGTACAACACTCTCAGACATTTTCACTTTGGTTCTGGAACCTAAAAAGCCATTTGGTTTGCTTTTTCTTGGCTTAGGTGTTGAGGTATTGTTTAGAAGAACACTTATTTGAAAAGGAGAAAGGAACATGTCATTTCTCTGTTGTGAATTTGAGGCTAGGGGCAGATTATCCTGTTCCGACCGTAGTAAATCAATCAGTCCCGTCCCATAAAAACAGAAGAGCACCCCTGACAGCAATTGTGTCTGAGAGCTTGTTGAGAGAGAAATAAATACAAAACTACAAGACAGATATCTAAAACTGAAGTGAAGTATTGTGTTTGTATCTATCTGTCTGTCTCTGTGTATGGCCTAGACAAGATCCATAAATTCAAAATGAAAATTTCATAGCTTTTGATCTATAATGTTAATATTGTGAGTGAGTTCAAAATGAAAACTAACAACGCGCAGAGCTTGAAATTAACACCCGCCAACCTGCCAAATGCAGGTAGATTTCAGCTGTGGCGGGTAAGACAGCTGCTCCCACTAGCCACTTTGGCTGGTTTAAAAATTTTTAAATTGTATTTTTCTAAAAAGGGAAGTGTTCAACAATAAAGATGCACCAATATTTGGGCAAATGTGATCTTAGAATCAAGAAGCAGCACGACTGGCAAAAATTATTGTGGCCTGTCAAGCAAAAGAAACAAGTGTATACCGAATGAGAGGATGAACACTCTCAACACAGGGGATGTGATGTGCACGACTGTTAAAAAAATGTAATGTGCACGACTTTAAAATAGACTGATCAAAATTAAATTAAATTTTTACATTATATTATTCATTCATTCGTACATTAATTTTCTTTCTGGCTTTGTTTCTTTATTAATCAGGGGGTCGCCACAGCGCACCGCCAACTTATCCAGCATATGTTTTAAGGAGTGGATGCCCTTCCAGCTGCAACCCAGTACTGAGAAACACCCATTCACACTCATACACTATAGACAATTTAGTTTACCCAATTCCCCTATAGGGCTTGTCTTTGGATTTGTAGGGGAAACTGGAGCACCTGGAGGAAACCCATGCGAACACGGGGAGAACATGCAAACTCCACACAGAAATGGCAACTGAGCCAGCCAGGGCTCGAATTAGCAAACTTCTTGCTGTGAGGTGACAGTGCTACCTACTGCACCACCCGGAATTAAAACTAAAGAGATATAAGACAACTAAAATAAAAGTCCAAATATAAATAAATAAATAAAGCAACATTTTAGCCTAAATATTAAAAGATGTACAGTGTTTTTTTTTTTTTTTTAAGTGATAAGAGGCAATTGCTGTGAGGCAATTTAAATGTTGGTAGTCTCATGAAAATGTTCCAAAAGTTTATGTAGCTAAACTAGAGCAGAATATTCATATTAATTTCCTGAAATTTGGACAAAAGTTTGGACTTGCAAACATTTTCCATTATGTTCTCCAATGATCTTTTACTTGATTAAAAATACAATAAAATATTGCTGCAATTTAAAATAATTGCTTTCTGATTTAAAATGTAATCTATTCTTTATGATGGAAAGTTGATTTATCAAATAATTATAATAAAAGCATTTTGTGCTCAAGAAAAATATTGTTCACTGCTGAAAACAGATGTGCTGATATCTTGTAACCGATATATTGTAACATGCATACACACGGCTGGAATCAAACTCATTTGTTTGTTCCTAACATTTTGTAGCCTCTATTTGTGTAGTTTGCTCTACAAATGTACTTGTAGCTGGTCTGAAATAGGATAACAGAAGTTAGATGAATCTCGTTCACACAGACAGATTGAGGGAAAGTGAGGACAAAATACATGTGCGTGTGCTGTTCAGGGTATCTTCCTTCTCTATCTTAATGGAGAGCTGATTGTTCGGAAGTGAACCTCCTCTGAAACTCGCCTCATTAACCTGCCAGGTGGTGGAAGACACCAAGCTCTGATTGAACTGCAGCCAGAATGCCTGCTTTGAAGACCACAAGGGACTCAGAGGGGAGAGAGAGAGACATAAAGCATCTGAAAGAGCGTATATTCTCCGCTGCAACCTTTTTACACAAACCAACCAATCTTGCATTGATCATACAGAACAACTCTGGTTTATAACGTATGAAAGAGTATGTCCCAAAAGAGCTGGTATTTCTAATGCTGCAGGAATTTAAATGTCTTTCAGTCCTTTCAATTGTCTGTTGCGGAGCTGTTCAAACAAGACGCAACGGCACGCAAGCCCTCTCGGGTGCAGCCGGAGATCGAATCGAGCAGATTTCGTATGGATATAGAAGGCCACATTTGTTTCGAATCTAAGACCCTTGGCTTGCTCATACTTTTTCTATTATAGTGACCTCGCAACTGGCATTGTATACACAGCATGGAGCTGTTGTTGTGCGACCATGTTGTCAAGAAACAGCGATTCTGGGAAGGTGTTTCATCCTTCACCATGGCCTTTGCGAACACAAACAGATAACTGAAGAGTGGTCTAGGTGCTGACTGGACAAACGCCCAGGCCTGACACTTCTTTTTGTTTGTGGTTCATGACGAACGGCCATATTAGTGATTCATATGTGTGCAAGAGGCTGTTGACGAGATCGCATTTACACACGTCCACCTTGTTTAGACACGTCCTGCGTCCTTCTGGGACATTTTGTGGAGTGTCCTCACGCATGTCCTGTCTCCGTTTCTTTACTGGGGTTTCGTCCTTGTAGTCAACATCTTTCTCTCTCGCTCAAATCCATCCGCTTCCTGTGTTCCCCTTCTCTTTTGATAGTTTCGTGTTTTCCTCATTCCCATTCCTTCAAATTTTACTCTTAGTCACCACTGTTATTATTTTTGCAGTCCAGTCGCCAGCTGGTTTCCATCAAAGCCAATCAGTGCCTTCAAAGCTGTTCTGCACATTTCAGGAGCAACAAAGTCAGAAGATATTTCCTCACTGCCCTGCTTGGCTAATGGGGCTCGCACTGTTTGCACGTCACCGAGTTCACTCGATCCATATTTGAGGACGGAGAAACACCCCGATCACGCAGCTTTAATCTAAGCTGGTCACGTGTCTGTGAGAACCCTCATTAGCATTTGGGTATGCTTATCAACATCAGCTTTGCTTATTATCTTGATGGTTTGTGTAATCATGTGAATTTTTTTGTACATGTTTTTTAAAGTTGTTGCATGGCCAGAAACAGTTATTGGGTTTGCAATTACACGGTTGCAGGCTCACAGGCACATAGAGACACACACTTTGTTTATTTTTTACAAAAACATGCAATTCTTTCATGTGCCTCACTGCGAAGTTCACATGTGCGGAGCAGCTGTGGATGTGTTTGTTTGCGAAAGATCTACATTAGCCTTTCTTCCACCTCTCTTTGACCTAATTGAAAACGATTCAGTGTAATTGTTTGATGAATAGTGGTGACTTTCCATTGATCTACAGTATGGCGATACAGCACTAATATGTCTGGACTGGCAGAGTTTCTATTTAAAAATATTCCTGCTTTTTTATGTTGTGCTGCTATAGTAAGGGAAAAATATGAAGGGTATTCATCAACTTGAAAATCAAATCAGTTTATGCCTTCAGGTGATGTTGAAAATCCCAATAAAATCCAATGTGTGAATTAATTAACAGATGAACTTCAAGCATGGGATAATGTGCCTTCATTAGTGAATGCATATATTGAAGTCTCTTGTTTTATTATTTATTATTAATGTTTTTTTTTTTTTTTTATTAATTTGTGTGTTTACAGGATGCTGGAATATTCTCTCAACCTGCAGAATGTTAGTTTCTCTGCGGTCCGAACAGTCAGAGTACTTCGACCTCTTCGGGCTATCAACCGAGTTCCCAGTGAGTATAATAACTGTAAACTTGTTTGAAATGTGCTTGCACACTATATACTGTAAAAAATATTGCATATTTCAGTCTATAATATGCACTACTTCATATATACTGCATTTATTTTACAATAGAGTGAAAAGAGTGAAATAAAACCAAAGACCTTATCATACACCCAGCGCAATAAAGAGCAAGACATGTTTTGTTGCTATTTTGAGGCCAGCGCAACCCATATTTTCACGCTTTTGTACAAAAATAGCAAATACATTTGCACCACTTTGTGGACTCATGGGCCTGCCGGTCTAGAAAGGAGGTGTGTTAAGGCGCATTGTTGTTGCATTGCTATTTTGAGGAACTGAAATAGACCATGCTGTTGACCAACTGAAATCAGGTCTAAAGTCCAGTGCAGAGTGCGTTAGTTGTACACCTATGTAGGTCAAAATCCTTGCACATTGCTTAAAGCACACAGGATGTACAGCAACACACAAATATCTTTACATATGAAAACAAAAATTATTAAAAAATATTATTTTCTACATAAATATAAAAAACACTGCCTCTATATCTTCTTCATCTCTGGGGGACTTTTTCAGTTTATTCGTAACATTTTGCTTTTGAAAAATGTTGTTATGACTATTATTAGCTAATATTAGTATTATTTATTATATGCAAATTTATATTTGTTTTAATAAAGACGAGTTTAGATTTGTCCATCTGTCCAGTTTTTGGAGATATGGTGCATAATAACAGGACGTGTGTTTGGATATATACGTTTTTTTATCACACTTCCTCATTATTTTTCATTTATTTGTGTGCCTAGAACTGAATTTAGAAATAGTTTTGGAATAAATCTTGGTGGTTAACAAATTAATTTAATATGCTGGCTAATGGATGTCTTCAGTCGAAATGCGTACAACATTGTTGTACAGTAAAAGTAAAGTAAAGAGAAATTAAAGAGGCTGGATGGAGGAGGCTCGTTCTTTATCCTTGTGCTGCAGATGGTCTGTTTATCCGTTTTCTTACTAGTGAAGTGTTCAGTTTTTCCACCTACAATGTCCACCATGTAAATAGCAAATGCCTTATGGAGCAACATAATTGACTCTTAAAGGGAATGGGAGGTGAGTCTCTAATTGGTTTAATGCACATTATTCTCAAAACACACCCAAAACTCATTAAGAGAGTAAGCAGAATCCTGTTAGACCAGGGGTCACCAATCTCGTTCCTGGAGGACCAGTTTCAAGTATACCTTGTAAGACCTTAGCTGTGTCCCAAATGGCACACTATACACTATGCACTCATGCACTATGTACTTATGCACTTACACACTCAACAGGATAGTATATGTATGTAGTGGTGTCCCAAATGGCACACTAATGTTTTTTTACTAAGCGGAAATTCAAACCGTTTCCCTGATGACGTTTGACGGATGCCAAATCAGTGAAATAAACAACAGAATTATCAAGTAATACCTGCCGTGAGTATTGCCGCATTTACCATCGGGAGGCGCTATAATCACTCTCATAGAAGAATTTAGCTTTCACCATCCAAAATAAATAAAGTTATCCAACATGTGCGTCCGATAGCTCCGCCCCTTCCGCTACGTAAGCAAACCTGCGGTCGTTGAGTGCGTGAAGTGTCCATCATTCCACACTTCATTTTAGCGGCTGAATGAGTGCATCATCCGGGTAATTAAAGTGCACTTACTATTTTTAGAGTTTTCAGTGTGAACACACTACTTACACTATTTATAATACAAAATGGCGTAGAATAGTGCATAAGTATGCGATTTGGGACACAGCTCTTGATTAGCTTGTTCAGGTGTGTTTGATTAGGGTTGGAGCTAAAATATGCAGGAAACCGGATCTCCAGGAACAAGTTTGGTTATCCCTGTGCTAGACCATACGCTGTGACACAGAGCATATTCTTCCGTCCTTAAAATAGCAAAAGTGGATTTGGACATGACCTTAATGCGTTTGCACCATGCACTTTAGACTAGCCTAGATCCTTAAAAAAGAGCCCCATATTTTAAGATACATCAGAAATATTTTCAAAGGTAATTAAAACCAAATTAACATTAGAGTAGTGACGTTTTAGTAACACTTCACATTAGAATGCTTCTCCAGCAATTTTAGAAGTATTTTTGTCATGGGAATTTTAAAGAAGTCATTGATAATGTGTTTAAGCCATGAACAAAACCAACCAGACACATGGTGAATCATCAATACCAGCTTTTACTTGATGCCAAGAACTATATGGTATCAGACAAATCGGGACAAGGCTCTGTATTTAATGGCTTTAATGAGAAAATTGAAAAATACATACACTCCAATGAAGCTTTGTAAATGATGCAATCAAATAAAAAATGCAGCGAAAAAGTAAAGTTGTTGGTTGTATCTGTAGAAACAAGATGCTTTTATTTCAAAATATGCACATATTGTTTTGGAAGAGTACTTAAATGCTTTTCGGTGTTTACTTTTTTGACACTGATTGAATGTTCAATTAAGGTACAACTGTATCACTTTGTGTTGTAGAAAATGGGAAGACAGAACTTAATTCAATTGATTAATTCCCCACATTCAATCAAAGAGTTTATTGAATTCAGAATATTCTGTTGAATTGCATTATTTAAGCACTGTGGTCAATTAATGTAATTTAATCAGCATTTGAAAGAGAAATGTAGCCTGGCCTCAGTCATACACCAGAGTTCATGCCATTTTAGCGACTTTAGATTTATAGATCATTTTCCTCTTGAGCGGTTTTTACGGCTTTTCTCTTTACACACACACACACGCACATACACACACACACACACACACACACACACACACACACACACAAACATGCACGCACATGCACATGCACACACGGAGTAAAAAAGAATAATAGAGATGGGCTCACACACATACACACACTCTCTCTCTCGTTCTCTAAGGCAGAGTGATGATATTTCATTGGCCACATATTTATATACCGGATGTTTTAATCACCCTCTGTGCCAAGGAGATGCCCGCGGTTCCCCCACGGCTCTTATTTCATGAGGAACCATGTCTGGACAATTCTGCTTGATGTCCCTATTTGTGGAGACTAGTAAAATGTATATTGGACAATGGTAGCATTTAGCTGGAATGTTTTGACTAGCCCAGTTGAGGTTTTGGTGAGGGTAATTTGTGTGGGGTCTTGTTCACTTCTCAACCCTCTGGATATGGTTCAGCACGTCTATCAGTCTGACTGACAAACTTCTCCCATGCTACATGACTAGAACTGGTCATTATTAAGTTTAAAACTGCTCTCTATACACTGTTTAGTGTCCTATATTGGGTGCTTGCCATTTTAAATTTGTGTCTGATTTTTGAGAATTACTAGATTCCATACATTTCTTTACTTACTTCTTACCACAATCCAATCTGCTTTTGAAGGGTTGTTTCCCAAAAACTAAAGTGAGGAGGCAAAAGAGCTGAAGAAGAATAAGAAACATAGTTGATATGAACACTGGAAGTTGTGATTTTCCATTCATAATTTAAGCTAGGGTTCTGTTAGGAGTCAGTTACAGTACCTAACTGAAAACCCAGAGCAAATAAGAACTTGATCATACATTTGTGTAGGTTCGGTTGATAGTTATTTTTTTATGTAGGGATTAAGTGGCAATTGACACTGACCTATTAGAAAAAAATTAGACCTGAGGAATAACATTTTCTAAAAAAATTTAGTGAACATGATTAAATTGTTCTGTTTTATTAGTTGCAACACATCTGAACAATGTCTTTAGGTGTGGTTTTTCAGGACATTGGTCAGGTTTTTGTCCTAAAACCCGTCCTAGGTGCCCTCAAAAAGATTCATTATTGGATGCACTCAAATTAATTTAGAACAGGATTTCCATCCAATACATTTGTTAAGCACTAACTTAAAAATATATATTCAAACAATTAAATGCAATTGAGTTAGTCCAACATGATTCTATCAAATAAAAGTTTAAATACATTTGTATTTTTGTTTAACCTAAATTCAAAGGTCTGATAATGTCATGTATGTCTTATTTCTGCCATACATTTCAAAGTTTCTTGGTTTTATTTTAAGTTATTCTTAATGAACTAAAAGAAACATTTGAAGCATTTTTCACCAGTTACATGTACAGTTGATTGAGACTGAATCTCAAAACTAATTTAGGGACAGTTTATTTCTCACAGAGAAAAGCAATAAAGTGCATTTTTCCTAATTAAGCTATCAACACCCCAAGCATGAGTGATTCTGCAAGGTAGTAATCTATAAACTCAAAGCATTACATGAAAATCTTCAAAATAAAGTCAATATTAAACTGTATCAAGTCTTTCTATTAACTTTAAACACCCAAGATTGACCCCTTTCTTGCCAACTTTTCCCTCTTTTAATTCAATTCCACGCAAATAGCCAGGTAGTTGGACCAAAACAATTACTTCTTGTTGTCCCAAAACACTTAAGTTAACTTAATGGTTTACAAACGTTAGTGGACTGAACACAAACCAAATAAATTGGCTAAAGAAACTACAAGGATTGTGTTGTTTCAGCTCATTTTAAATGGGCAGTTTGAACAAGCAGCAGCAATCATTTTATTGAATGTGTAGGACTAGTTTCTCATGTCTCATCCAAAGACTTTTAATTAGATTTTTTATTTTTACTGTGGAATACTGTGAGATTCTGTGAGAACTGAATTCATCCATTGAAGTGATACATTATCTGTTAGGCCTGCTTAAATTACTTTAGCTCTGCAGTTTCTTGAAAAAAATTATAAAATAAAATAAAAAATATAATAATAATTATTAATATAGCTGCAAGCAGCAATTAAGGGGCCAAGCACTTTTGACCAAAAGGTGGCGCTGCTCCAGAAGTTTTTAAGGTCTTTCAGGGCATGGGGTTGAAGATGCATACCATGTTTTGTAATGATATGTGAATGTGTTGGTAAAATATAGCATTTTTGACAAAAAATCGAAATGGTTGATGGCCAAAATGGCTGACCTGTAAAAATCAGACATCACTCG